AAGGTTTTAATTTGTTTTCTATATTAAAATATAATGATTATAAGACCATATGAAGAAATAATTTTAGTTTATATATATATTTCATATCGTTTTAATTAAACTATAAATCGTATGAAAATACATACTTATATTTTGATTGTCTTCAACATATATTGAAAAGTTAATATTTTAATTTTGAAATATGTCATTTTTTTAAAAATGATTATAAATTATTGAAACTACTAAACATCTCACATTAAAAAAAATCATTGGTGTAAAGTTTTGCTACACAAATATGTAAATAATATAAAATCATATGAGTAGAAACCTCATTGAATAAATATCAATATAAAAGTGTGCCATATTACTATGATTATATCATTTAAATTTAATTATATATCATATACAATATATAACATTGATTATTTTGATTTATTTACGCTAATTGCAAATAAACAAGAGTGATAGTTAAATTTATATGCATACGTCAATTTATTACATAATAGTGACTAATTTCTTAGTTATATAATATATATATATTTATTATTTTATTATTATATGATATGCAGAAAATTATAAAATAAATTATAAATATAAAATACTTATTGTGCATAAAGTGCAGATCTTAACCTAAGTATGTATCATTTTAATGATTTTAAATCTTAAGTATTTTCTAATTCTCAGGTCAAAACAAATAAATGAAATGAGAATAAACTTCAAAATCAATATTTATATCGAGTAATAACCAAAATATAAAAAAACACAACAAAAGAAAAAATTGAAGATAAATAGGATTAACACGTGAACGTAAACTTTTCATAACCATAATTAATTTTTAAATTGTTAAATCATGATATAAAACTGAGTTAATTTTAATTTGTTAATTTGTTAATTTTTTTTTAGTTTTTTAAATCATTAAGATTATGTTAAATCATGACCATAACTAATTTTAAATTTTTCTATTTGACAAACTTAAAATATTGTTTTTAAAAATAATTTAACATTTAACTTAATTTTTATAAAATTATTTTAAAAATAATAATTTGTAAGAAATATAGTTTTCTAATATTATTATACAAATAAATAAATGATATTAAATTAGTTTTGAAACTTTACATATTTTAAATGCAATTATTTTACCAACTACTTCTTAAAAAACATTAAGAAATTTGCTAATACTCTACCAATCAAGCCCAATGACACTCTGTTTATTTTCCATCTCTCGAACACTAAAATGTGAAAAGATATATGAAATCGGGTCCATTAAATTCTAAAATTTGATCTACAATTCTAATTACAATTGTGTCTGATCCTACGTATAGATAATTAATTAAAAATTCCAAAATTCTAAAATTTCAAATACGTATAAAAAAATTATATGTAAATTTTAAATTTATCAATACTAAATTTTTATATTTTAATTACGTATATTCACCCTGTGCAAGACGCAAATCTTATCCTAGTTCTAATTAAAAAAAAAGTCTGTTCCACACCTCTTGCCTTCCAACGGTTATTAAGAGTAGCGAGTACTAACTTTAAACCCTTGGATCCAAAAGAAAGTGAACAACGGTGCAGATCCGATATAGTAAGAAAACATGACCGTTTTCGAGATTAATCCAGACAAAGCACCGGGACCGGATGGCATGACTAATAAATTATTTCAGAGATTCTGGCGGGAGATGCGCCAAGACATTATTAGATTTGTACAAGATTTCTTCGAGACATGCTTTCTTGACCCTCTGTTGAACCAGACAAATATTTGTCTCATTCCTAAGAAGAAGAAACCCTGGGACATGACCGAGTTCAGACCTATTAGTCTTTGCAATGTTAGCTATAAGATTATATCTAAGCTATTATGCAAGAGACTAAAGAGGGTTATACCACGCTTGATCTCAGAGGCACAATCAGATTTTGTGGAAAAACGTTTGATTACTGATAACATTTTGATAGCACAAGAGAATTTATATGCACTACGAATGAATAACAGATGTAGGGAAGATTTTATGGCTATTAAAATAGACATGAGCAAAGCTTACGATATAGTGGAATGGAGTTTCATAGCAGCTTTCATGCTGAAGATGGGATTTGATGAAAGACTGGTTGACCTCATTATGTGTTGAGTCACGTCGGTCTCAAGTCCTTGTCAATGGGAAACCAAGAGGGCGAATTTTACCAAAGAGGGGGTTGAGGCAGGGAGACCCCCTCTCCCCCTTTTTGTTCATTTTGTGCACGGAAGCTTTGATATCACTCCTTAACGGAGCAGAAGCGGAGAAAAAGATTGTGGGTCTTTGCGTTGCCCAGGCGAGCCCGAGGATCTCCCATCTCCTCTTCGCTGATGATAGACTTTTCTTTTGCGAGGCGAAAGTGAGCCAGTGCAAGGATATTATGGATATTATAGACATCTATGTGAAAGCATCAGGACAAAAACTAAATGTGGCGAAATCTTCTATGTTCTTTGGAAACAGAGTGAACTACTCCCGAAAACAGAGATTATGGATATTATAGACATCTATGGGAAAGCATCAGGACAAATATTAAATGTGGCAAAATCTTCTATGTTCTTTGGAAACATAGTGAACTACTCCCGGAAACAAGAGATAAATGAAGTATTGGGTTTTTCTACTGAAGGAGGCATGGGAATGTACCTTGGATTACCTGAACAAATTTGTGGCTCGAAAACGAAAGTATTCTCCTACGTACAAGATCGGCTTAATGGACGAGTAAATAATTGGTCATCGAGACTACTCTCGAAAGGAGGAAAAGAAGTTCAAGCCGTTCCGACATACCCAATGTCGTGTTATTTGATTCCACAAGGCATTACTGATAAATTAAAGAGTATGACTTCTAATTTTTGGTGGAGTTCAAAACAGAACAGAAGAGGCTTGCATTGGATAGCTTGGGACGAGATCTGTACCCCCAAGGATTCGGGGGGACTAGGTTTTCGAGATCTCCATGACTTCAATTTAGCACTTCTTGTAAAATAATTATGGCGCTTGATCCACTAAGGCCTCCAGAGTCATGTATGGAAGTTAAAAGCTCCAAGCAAGATGAAGCACTTTTTGTGGCAAGCTATTTCGGGATGTGTGGCGACAGCAGAGAGGCTAACTTATAGACACATGGGCACTGATAGGAGTTGTCCTAGATGTGCTGGCCCAGTGGAGTCGATTAACCATCTCATTTTTGAGTGCCCCGCTGCAATGCAGGTTTGGGCTTTATCGGAATATCCGTCCATTCCGGGTGACTTCCCGAGTATATCTATTAACCAAAACATGAACTTTCTGTTTTGGAAGCGAAAAGAAGTGGCTCCTCGGAGACCACAATTCGACACCTTCCCATAGTTATGTTGGTATATTTGGAAGGCAAGAAACGACACTCTTTAATGGTAAAGACGTATCTCCGATGGACACTCTTCAACATGCGTCTCTTGAGGCAGAATGTCGGAGGAAGGCAAACGAGAAGGAGGAAGTAAATAAGGATCATGAGGTACCTCATAGTTCAGAGCCCCCTAGGATCCCCCAAACCCCTACATGCCAAATTGATGCATCATGGATCAATAATGGTAGTGTCAGTGGCTTAGGGTGGAGTCTCAAGGATCAAATGGGTTCTGAATGGTTCGGACTACAGGCGTTTAGAAGGAGCCTATCAGCTCTGCATGCCGAGATAGAAGGCCTACTGTGGGCAGTCTCATATATGAGACATTTGAGGATGAATTCGATACGGATTGAGACGGATTGTTCGGATCTAGTGGACATGTCTACTAAGCCGGAGGACTGGCCGGTTTTTGCGACAGAGATCGAGGTGTTTCAACGACTACGGGAAGACTTCGAGGATGTGAGTCTGTCTCATATTCCGCGGAGTGGAAATGGAAGAGCGGATGCATTAGCTAAAGAAACAAGGAGTAGAGGCTATACATTTTCCCATATAGATCAGACCTGGCCAGACGGAGTTTCTCCTCAGAGAATCGACTCTACTGGTCACCACTTGATTTAGAATAAATTGGCGGCTGATAAAAAAAAAAAAAGAGAGAGAGCTAAGCAGAAGTCCATTTATAAAATAAAACAGTTATGTGCCCCCCAACTTCATACGCTCTGAGAAAATTAGTGTTTTTCTCTGAGAGAGACCAAGAAAATTTTGAGTTTGAAGAGTGTGATAAGAGAGACAGAGAGATAGTGGCGTCTGATTGTTTTGAAGCTGAGAGGGGAAGCAATCGTCTCTGTGATTTCTTTTCATCTCTTTTAACGAGTATCGGAGGAGGAGCGTTAGACCAGATCAAAGAAAAGGAAGAATCTTCTTCAATGGCATCAAGAGTTTCTATTCCCAGGGGAATCACAGGTTTCTGACTCGCTATTTGATCTAATGTTTTCTTGATTTTGTCCAAAACTATGCGTGGGTTCTCTGTTTTAGATTGGGATTGTAAACAAGGTTACAAGTTTTGTTTCGGTCTGATCTATGAAGTTTTCAAGTATTTGTGTTTGGTTACAGAACTGTTTATTTAGTTCTTTTTTCTTGAGGGAATTAGGCGAAGTTAAACCAAAGAATGTCGTAAGACAAAACCGAAAGGCTCTTGGAGACATTGGGAATCTCGTCAACATTGCAACTGAAAAGGTGATTCTCCATCTTCTGTTTTTATCATCTTACATTTTTCTTGCAACTCATTAAAAAGATGTGTCATATCTCTTAATAAGGATATTGCGAGGAAGGCCAAACCGTCAAAGGCAGAGGAGGTTGTTATCATCACCCCTCACGAAAATGAGAAATCTTGCAAACCACATGTTACCCAAAGAGGTTCCTCCAAGACTTTCACAGCGACCCTAAGAGCTCAAAGCAAGGTAATAATCATAATAATGGGTAGCGTTTCACAGCGACCCTAAGAGCTCGAAGCAAGGTAATAATCATAATAATGGGTTTCAAAAATGACTTTTGTGTGAGATTATCTAATCCCTCTCTATAATTAGGCTGCAAATGGACTCAAAGATGCTGTGATTGACGAAATTGATGCTCTTGATGCTGGTAACAAACTTGCTGCTGTGGAATACGTTGATGACATTTTCAAGTTTTACAAGAGCATTGAAGAGGAAGGAAGGATCATACACTATATGGGATCACAACCTGAATTAAACATCAAGATGAGATCCATCCTCATTGATTGTCTTGTCGACGTTCACAGAAAGTTTGAGCTGATGCCGAGACACTTTACGTAACCATTAACCTCATTGACCGGTTTTTATATTTGACTACGGTTCCTAGAAGAGAGCTTCAGCTTTTGGGGATAAGCGCTATGCTTATAGCTTGCAAGTACGAAGAGATCTGGGCTCCTGAGGTTAATGATTTTGTCAGCATTTCGGACAACGCTTACTGCAGGGAGCAGGTCTTGGCTATGGAGAAATCAATCTTAAGACAACTCGAATGGTGCATCACTGTTCCAACGCCTTATGTGTTTCTTGCGCGTTACATTAAAGCCTCGGTTCCATGTGATGGTGAGATAGAGAAACTGGTGTTGTATCTTGCTGAGCTTGGTCTGATGCAATGTCCGCTAGCTTTCGTGAATCGTCCATCGATCCTGGCTGCGTCAGCCGTTTATGATGCATGTCAATTACTTGAAAAGACTCCATCTTGGACTGAGACTTTGAAACATCACACTGGCTATTCGGAAGATGAGATCATGTAAGCTATCCACTTGATTGATGTTGTTTTGATTCATTTTTGAATGCTAATAGGTTTGGTGGTATTCAGGGAGAAGGTGAAAATGCTAAGGAATATAAGGGACTCCGCTCTAGAAAGTGCGCTAAGAGCTGTGTTCAATAAATACTCTCGCTGAAAACGGTTTGTTGCTCTTCTCCCTTCGCTGGAGGACTGATAGACCTCGAAGATGTTATGTGAGGAGGAACTCTGCTACTCGTGCGTCATGTGATAAGCAAGCAAGCAATGATGATGTGGAAATTGGCGGTTAAAGCAGTTACAAGTTGTTACGTGAAGAAGAAGTATAAATAGAGGAGTAGTATTGTATTTGGCCTTTTGTGCAATTAGTGAATATTGCATCACTTGGTCCTGGTAGAAATTGTCTACAGGAATTGGTTCTAAACCGTACTTCGGTGAGAGATTGTAATCGGTTTATTGAGAGCAATAATATATATGTTTGTTCTTGTCAATTGGTGCAATGATCGGATATGGCGACGAGGATGACGGAGGAGACGGCGATTCAAATCGAAGAACTTGAGCGGCGGTCTATGGTGCGAAGGAGCAGATTAATCACTTAACCGGTGGTTTTAAACTGCTATAGGAAGCTTCGACGACGACGGAAAAGCGTCTTCAAACTGTTATGTGAAGAGGAACTTTGCTACTCGTGCGTCACATGATAAGCAAGCAAGGAATGATGACGTGGAAATTGGCGGTTAAAGCATTTACAAGTTTTTACGTGCAGAAGAAGTTTAAATAGGAGAGTAGTATTGTATTTGGCTTTTTGTGAAATTAGTGAACATTATAATTCTTGGTCCTAGTAGAAATTGTCTACAGGAATTGGCTTTAAACCGTATTTCGGT